TCTTTTAAGGGAACATAGAGAAACAAAGTGAATTGAGTGGATTCACTGACTGAGGGAGTGCCTCTGTTTCTCAGTAACTGAAAGGCACACAGTGTCCCATGAGCCATGGACTCTAACCTTAAAATCCTACGGTGCATGCTTCTCAAGCCAAGTAGGCAAAGAAAACTCCATGGTCCCCCAAACCATACCTTCACTCTCCTATATCATTCTGAGACTCATCCTTTACTATTTGTTGTCCTGTGTCTCATATCAGTCACCCTAAAACACCTAGGAATGTTGGTCCATGCTACTTTCCATCCTGAGTAGTTAGATTAATGCTAAGCCTGCTCTTGGTATCATGTGTGAAATTTCTGTATAAACGTTAAGTCCTGAGGATATATTGTGGGTGATTATTAGGGAAGTTCAGTGTGAAATCTTCATGCCTTATGTAGAGGATAGTCTTGAGCAGTAAAGCCTTGGAAGGCACTAGACCTGGGTTAGAAATGGAGATCTGTGAATCTGGAGGGACACAGCACTCCATAGTGCCAAGCAGGCAGAAGGTCTGCAAGGACCAGAAGAAACAATAGGGCTTTGACTCCAGGTTCTTGGTCTGAACCTTAAAGCTATGCAGCTCACCTCCAGACTGCTTCACCTACAAAGCAAAGGAGACCCACCATCTCTGGCCACTCAGGTCCTCTTATGTCTGCTTGTGAGTCATCTTATTCCTAGTCCTTTAAGGACATGGATTGAGGGTGGAGTTTAGAGGGGCCAATACTGGTTGAAAGAGGCCTTTTCAGAAGTCTCTCTGTTGTCTGAACAGCAATGATACCTGAGGCTAACACCACAAGTCACAATTCTAACTCCATGGGAGGGATGTTGATGATGATGCCTTAAAGCATGAACATGAAACTCAGAATATAACATACCTGTGGAGGATAAATGATCAAAACCTCTTAGAAGATTACAGACTGAAGCTGTCAGAGGACAATTGGGCTCTCATGTATTCAATGTCACAGCTACTGACATTAATCTGTAACTGAGTAAGTGTCATTTGAAATGACCCATTCAAACTGAATGTTAGCTATGAGTAATTTCTGTTTCATCATTGGCTGTGCCTGCATAAAGACAGAAGGCTAGAGCCAGAATGATAGACCCATCTTGAGTGTCACAGACTCACCACGCAAATACTTAAGCTAGCTAGGGCATTCTGGTATCATCTAAGCACATTCATCCTGTTTCAACCTTGAGCTACAATGGGTTGGAGGGACTTCTGTGTAGAAAGGCTCATGGTGAGAGAGACACATAGGACATCTCAGATTCAGGCTTACTGAACACTGTGTGTCTGCTTTTGGTTTATTCTGCTGATGGATCAAGGGTTTGTGCATGCTATATTAGAAATCTATTAATCTGTTTGTTAAGCTCCGGTTGAAACATGCTTAACTGAGATTATGGCATAGCTCAAAGAGATATTATGGCCTTCTGTATAACAGAACCTCCCCTTCTATCTACTGATATAACATGTGGATTTATTATGTTTGTTCCAGATGGTTCAAATGTCCTGCGCTTATCATTTTTGGATATTCATTTTTATTCAGATGTAGACATCAACCTCTCCAGCCATGTTGCCTTTCACCTACCACACAACAGTATTCTTGATACATTAATGGAAAACCTCAATTATCCTTCCAAAAGTGTTTTATCCCTAACATCATTACTAATAATAGCAGATCTGATCTTATATATCTCTTGTCTGGAACTATGCCATGAGCCTTGATAGGACCACAATGACAAAAAACTACATATCTTTGTAAATGAATCTGTGAAATGTCAGCACTGAGTTTTGGGTGAAGTCTTGGATTTATGAATAGATAGAGAAGCTAATTACCAGCCTGTGTCCATTTGTACGAACAAATCCCAGTCCCTTCATGAGATTCCATCTCTGTTTCTTCCCTCTCTTCTTGCCTCTCTGATTTATACTGGGCATCCCTGAACTGTACTTAGAATGTGAAGTTGGGATGAACTTGCCAGGACAAGTAGAGTTTCCTTCTGCTGTTAACTTTTGCTTTTCTGTCTTTTCCATTTGCTTTGATGATCTCCATGACCCAGAACAATACCCAGCTCTTTAAATGATGCTCATGTTCTTTTACCCCAAATGCTCCCAGCTCTTCTCTTGTATCAAATGGTGATTGGCTTCATCTACTTCCAATAGAGTCAGTACAGGCAGTTGATGAATGTGCCTGGGAGGTCTTTCCTGAGTCAGGAGGAAATAATGTTTTGATGGTGTGGTTTCACTTATTCTTGACAATGTCAGTGGTAGACATCACAACAAGATCTGGGAAATCTGAAAAAGTAAAACTTGAGTTAGATGATCTTAGATGTACCTGGCTGTGAAGATATAGCTGTGAGGGGCAGTGGACAGCAGCACATATCAAGACCATAGCAAATAGAGCAGGATACTCATTTGAAAAATGGAGAATTTTCTGTGAAGTCTCCCTGTGGAGGAGGACTTAACAGTTTAAATCAGTGTCTTAGCATGAACCAGTTAGCTTTAACCAGCCCCAAATTATCTGGGTCTCAACTGGAAATGTTTTTTTTCAACTGAGTAACTGTCTTATCAAATTCCATGGTGGACATATCTGTGGGAGATTATCATAAGTTATGCAAGAGGACTCAGGTCACTGTGGGAAGTATCATACACAGGCAGATGTTTTTTGTTTGTACAAGAAAACTAGGTAACTGTGGGTTTGCAGAGTACATGGGTCCTGTGAGTTGAATTGTGAGTCCCACATCTGCCCATTCAAGAAGCTAGGGCAGTAGTTCAAAGAGGCAGAGGTTCAGGAAGTTGACTATGTTCATTCCATGCCTGATCAGGGCAGATGTCAGGCTGTGTGAAGCTGTGGACTCCACTCTGGGGGTGAGGAACATAGTCTGAGATCCTGTGGGGAGGGGGAGAAGCTCTGGTTGTGTCCCATGGAGATGAGACTTTTGGTCATGGTGACTTGCTTGGCTTTGGTGGGTGCTGCTTGCTTGGCTTGTTTGAGTTGGTGGCTTCTGTGGCTTTAAGTATAGAGAGGTCATCAGCAGGAGATTAGGCAGTGGCTCAGTAGTTGAAAACCTTCTCCATGATTCCCCACAGCAGGTTCCAAGGAAGAGAGATCATCCATGGTCTTAAAATATTTATTGTCATGGCAGAAAATGGATGAAGCTATACCCCAGTATTTTCATGGAGGGGCTGAAGTTAAATAGTTTTTGTAAGAAAGAGGGTCTGGGAAGGAATGCTTAATTGGCTACACCCTCTGGCCTTTAGGTATTTCTGAAAGATCTGTGTTGAGGCTCTGTGGCCTGTAGTTATGCCCTCTACCTGTGGAGTGCCTAGTAGTGGCATTGTCCTATGTGCCTGAAAGGCTCGTATTGATGGAAGTCTTTGGTCTCATGTCAGGAGCCTGGAGTCTGGGAGCGTTGTGAAATGCATGCTGTCCTTTACAGGGAAACCTGTGGGGTCTCCAACCTGCTGGGTCTCTGGCTGTCTTTAACTGGTGCTTAACCACAAACTATGCTGTCCTTTCATAGTCCTACAGATAACTGTGAGTGACAGTGTGAAACAGAGAATGAGTCAGCAAGCAGCATGTTTTCTGCCTTGAGTTTCTGCCTTCAATACTATGACATAGACTTTTAAGGTAAATGTGTCTTTTCCTCTCCCAAACTGCTTCTGTTCAGGGTGGATTTATCATAGCAAGAGAAGGAGACCTGGAACATTGTATAGGTAAGAGCATGTGACACATGCATTTGAATCAGTGTTCTCTGTATCCAACAGCAGAACCCTCTGTACTCTGGGCAAAAAAGGGAAGAATTTAGACACCAGAGAAGGACAAGAAAGTGAAGGTGGAGCCCCTACACTTATGTCTTTTCCTTTGAATGCCAAAAGCAATGCGTAAGGATTTATCTTTGAAAATTTGCAGACAAACCTCTCCTTAAGAGAATGTCCATCCTTTGGAGGACCACTACTTTCAACTTTAGCCCAGGTAGTCCCAGGAAAAATGTAGAAACCTGTCTAGTCATATTCTACACTAGATGGAATTAGAAGTTCTGCAGAGCACAGTGAGCAGGATGGTAGGCCCTGCATCCCAACTGTGCTGAAAGTGATCAGGGCAGGACACATTTGACTTGTTGACTATGCCTGCTGTATCTCTAGACATGAGACTGCAGTTCTCCCAATGATATTGAGGGGGTATTATCAGGACACATAGTCAATACTCAGAAAAGTGCTTGAACCTTGTAGACTGTTTTTCATGCTAAAGTCTTCTAACCCAGACATCCCATTCTAGAGCATGCTCTGACCTACCAGCTTCTTTCTGTACCTGAGAACACCTCTTTGTCTGAGTAATGTACAATTCCCCTTCATCCTATCTTCTGTTATAAGGGTGAAACCCGAGGAAGCACCTAGGCAGTGGGCATAGGTGACCAAGAAAGATCAGAGAGTACATGGGCTCATCCAACATATATGTCACACAGCACATGAAGCTGAAAGATTTTATTAAAACCCTCTTTAGGAAAAAGGAGCAAAAAGTTATTTCTGGGACACACATGTCACCTCTTCTCGAACACTGAAGACATGAAACTCCACACACAATTGCTATAGGACGTTTCTCCTGGATCAGGAATTTGACTGGCAACAACAGTGATACATGATTGCTATTCATTCCCAGTCACCACTCAGCTTGCCCCTTTCTGGCCCTCAGAGACATCTTTGTCACTTTCTGGCTGGTATTGAATCTCACCTTCCCAGAGCACTGAGGACACAGGGAAGACTGGGTTCTCAGATGAGTCTATATGTCCAACTGACACATAGGTAGGATGGAGACACCCTCTTTGATGCTGATGGACTCAAGGCTAGTGTTCAGCAGATGTCAGTCCTGGGATGAGCTGTTATTCTCTGAGGGCATGGGGATGCTTATCAGCTTTCTTGCTCAATGTGTTTATTGGAGGTGAAACATAAAGGGGGAAAAGTTGAGAGGGATTCAGACAGCTCTGAGTGTTGAAGGAACAGAGCAATGCCTTGGATACAGGCCCTACCACCCACAGCCCATTGAATCTTGGAAAGTGATCCTTCCTTGGAAGAAGCTTAACTAAGAAGAAGGAAAGACAGAAGAACTTGGGTGCTGTGATAGAGCTGTAGCCCTTCTCCACAGAGGGAGAACAGCACAGCCAGAAGAGAGATGGAAGCATCCTCTGTGCTTCCTTGCAAGTGGTGTATCCGCTTGGAGGGGCTCTTGATCACAGGTAAGGGTACTCACTCTCTGAGCATGGAGGTAGGGAAACTCAGAAGCCATCTGGGATCTCCTAAAGAGGATGGGAGCCTAAGATGAGACTTAGGGTTTTTGTTTGAAGCCATAGGGCAGAAAGTTCAGTGAGGGACAGAGGCTCAGCAGTTAGAAGCTCTCAGGACACAGGAGGTGATGAGGAAAGTGAAATGCCCCAACCACTCACTATTCATAAGTTACAAGTCAGTCATAATGGCTGCCATATTCTGAATATTTATGTTCCCAGTCATAACAGTGGGACTCTGCAAATAGAAATAAAAAAGGATGGGGCAGTAAGATGGCTCATTGTCTCTATATGTGACAACTTGAATTTGTTCCTTAACTCCTACATGGTAAATGGAGAGAATAGACTTCTGAATACTGAACCCTGTCATCCACATAGGTGCTGACAAATGTTCCAGCACATATTCCCACCATGAGACATATTCGTCCACACAGCACTGTTTTGTAAACTCTCCTATGTGCATAGTAAGACAGGTATCATCACAAAACGATACAACAAATAAGAAAATGTTAAAAAAAATCAAATCAAACTTGAGTACAATTATTGTTAATGCCAAACCTGGGAACAACGTACATAAACCCATGGTCAGTTCCTTCCTTCCCTTCTCTCCTTCCCTCCTTCCTCCCTTCCTCTCTCTTCCCTCCCTCCCCCTCCCTCCCTCCCTCCCTCCCTCCCTCCCCGCCTTCCTTCCTTCCTTCCTTCCTTCCTTTCCCCTCATTGCTTCCTTCCTTAGATTTTTCTCCCTCCCTCCATTCCTCCCTCCCTCCTCACCCTTCCTTCCTTTCTTTTTTCTCTCCCTTATTCCCTCTCTA